ACGTCGCGCGGCAGTGGCCGCAGTGGCTCGAGGCGGGCAGCGCCGGCGACAACGAACGCGGAGCGCGCGGCGACAGCGGTGGCGAGAGCCGAGGGACGTGACTACACCCTCGAGCGCCGTGCGCGCGCAACCTCGTCAGCCAACCACGCGCCGCACCAGCGCCGCGAGCGACGCCTCGAGGCACAACGTGCAGCCGCCGCATCCCCCGCCGCCGCCGCCGCCGCCGCCGCCGCCGCCGCTGCCTCGCTCCACGGCGGCGGCGGCGCCGCCGCCGCAGACTGTAAGCACCAACAGCCGGCGGCTCGGCACGCGGCGGCCGCCTCCGGCCTGGGGGCGCGTCGGCAGCGCGGCGCGCCACCTCGCTGCTCGACACGCGCCGGACCTGTCATGCGCGGCTGCGCCACCGCTTCCTCGTGCGGCGCCGTCGCCGCCGCCACGCCGGCCGCCTGCTGTGAGCGCCGCGCTGCTCGGCCGCACCCGCCCGTGCCGGCCGCAGCTGCTCTGCCGTCAGCGCCGTCGCCGTCACGGGCCAAGCCGCCGTTGTCGCCGCAGCCACGCCCGTCGGCCTCGCTGCCGCCGGTCCAGCATGGCTGACATCGCCACTACCACGGCACCGGGCAGGGTGAGGCGCTAGAGGGTGAAGGGTGCATAGAGGCGAGGTGAGGCGGCACCTAGGGGCAGTGACCCCCGTGAGCCGGCAAGCCGACGCGCCACCGCCGAGATGGAGGCCGAGCTGCGACCCTCACAGCTCTCGCGGCATGCGTCCAGAGCTCGATTCATCTGCCTCGCCGCTCGCTCGCCGCCTTTGTGGGACCTAAAGAGAGAGGTTCTGAGCCGTCGGGCGGCGCTGATGGTGGCCCGCGTGGGTGGAGCCCGCGGCAGCTAGGCCGCCTGGGCGCGGGGGGGGTGGTCCGGTGCTTCAGAGGCAGCGTGAGCGACGGGGGGGGCGAAGGATGTGAGGCGGCTCGCCTGCAGCGCCCACCTGCTGGGCCGTCTGGATCTGCGATTACGCCTCGGGAAATGCGAGATCATCCAGAAAATGTCTGCAGACCTCAAACCGATGGCCTCAAAAAGTCGTTGTCAGCCACCGATTTTCCGTGTCGCCCGACCCGCCACCTCACCGGCCCGGCGTTCGGAGGCGTAAAATCTTGGTCGGCCGTTGGGCCGGTGCCATCGGCCGCGGTCGAGTCGACCGTGCCCCGTCTTGGGCACGATGGACATGTGACCGGCTCCGGTCAAGATGTGCCCCGGCATGGCGGATGAGGCTCTCAGGTTGGGCGACGCGAGCGCCGAGAAGGTGGAGCAAGACCTCGCGTCCCACATGGGCTTGCTCGGTTGGCAGGGTTGGATTTGGGTTCTTTGTGATGCGCCAACTTCAACTTCCGGAACGACTCAACAGGGCCCAAAGACGGGGGAGCGACCGGCCTACTAGCCGATCCGCGTGTGTGCACCGTCTTTACTTTTTTTGCATTTTGGTGTGGCGGGGCCGGCACGATTACCCCGGCATCCCCTCGCCTCCCCCTGGAGAGAGAGAGCCAGAGTTCATCTCGGGTGCTCGCGCGGTCTGCCTCCGTTGTCTCAGGCCTCCGGGCGCGTGTGGCAGCGCGAAGGCCGAAGCTAGCTCCAACGTGACGAACACAAGCTCGATCAAGCTACATGATCCGTACTAGGTAGGAATCTAGGATATTCTGTACACTGTCACTGAGGAGTGAGAGAGAGAGACAGAGAGAGAGAGAGAGAGAGAGAGAGAGAGAGAGAGAGAGAGAGAGAGAGAGAGAGAGAGAGAGAGAGAGAGAGTTACAGAGAGAGAGAGAGATCACGTCGCACACGAAGGGGCCTTCAAGACTTAAACGTGCCACCACTGACTGACTGGCACTGCAGACAGCGGCCCCCTCCCTCCCGACGGGCGGGGACGCCATCAGCATCACCCTTGCCCAGGGATCTATCTACATACAATGAGTCAGGGAGAGGGGGCGAGCAAACAGCATGGAGAGGATGGAGAGCCGGTGACGAAAGCCCAGAAGCAGCGCCTACGCAAACGAATGGAGGGATCGGCAAGAAAATCGGGGGATCAAAAGTCATACGAGAAAGACCGCAGCAAGAGGCGAAGAGGAGGAGGGGTGAGGGAAAATTTCTGAACGGCCGAGCCTGCAAAGCAGGCCCGGACAACTAAGAAGGTCCCTCGCCCAGTGTTCAGAGATCGTAGTGGAACTTAACAATGCTCGTAAAACCATGATCGATGCGAGGACGCAAGTCCACCAACCTCGGCCATTCCAACGGCCAGATCGCTCGCTTAAGGCTGATTGGCTAGACGAGCGGTCTACCTCCAACGGGGCGGTCCGGGAACGCGTGGAACCTGCCCGCCTCGGTGGGAGGTGGTTTGGCGCCGACGGGCCGCCCTCTCCACCACCCTCGCCCAGGGATCTACAATGCTGTCTTAAGGTCCGACAGGTTCGGCACCGGGCACCGCCTCGGTATACAAAATGCGCCTGCGGGCGGACCCTTACAGATCACAGATCACAATGCTGTCTTAAGGTTCGACCTGTGGGCACCGCCTGCGCTCGGCACCGGGCACCGCCTCGGTATACAAAATGCGCCTGCGAGCGGACCCTCACAGATCACAGATCACAAAAGCGAACAAGCTCCTCTTGTAGCTCGATCGGTCACACCGCCACCGCCGTTGGGTGGGGAGAGAGGGGACGATACTGCTTCAGCAGCGTGCACCTCGATCCTGCACCGTGTTTGTTATGACCCCCCCCCCAATGAACACACCAGTGAGGGAGGGCGAGACGATCGAGGGGTCCCGTACCATGCGGAATCGACCCTATCCAGTGCTCAAGTGCTCAAGAGAGAAAATGTGGTACGGGGCCGTCGGCGACTCACTAGGTGCTCATATGTTCGATTATGCCGCGCCGCGCAGCATACGGGCCGAGCCGGCTCCCAACCAATCCTCCGAGGCAGATGCTGCCCTGCGTGTGTCTCCTCTATACGTCCCGATGGAGTACGTGGACGCCGCAGCAGAGGCATTTGTCAACGACCCATCTCAGCGAGCATCCTTGCCAAAAACGCTCATGCACCGAATATTGACCTGGGTCCGTTCGGATTTCGACGTAAACGGTGGCCATCTGGTACTCCATCTGGACGTATGCTAGTAGTGGACTGGGTGCCGACTCACGTTGCACACACTGGATCATCAGGCTGGCTCGACATCTACCCGCTGCACGTCCTGAGCGAAGAGCAGCTGCAGAAACTCTTTCGACATGCCGGGCGCGATGCACAAGCTCGCCGCATGCTCGATATCGGTGCCGGCGTCGGCGGCGTTACCAAATCAGTCGAGAAGATGCTGTCATGCGAGGTTGTGTGCACTGAGATGTCGCCTGCGATGGCGGCGCGCCTGCGCGACCGGCACGGGTTCAGCGCTGTGTGGGAAGAGGACGTCTCTGACACGTGGCGCCAGCGGCTGGACGCCGGCCAGGGAAACTTTGATATGGTCATGATGCTCAACGTACTTGACCGAACCTCCGCGCCCCACGAGCTGTTGCGCGCAGCGAGAGAGCTCCTCTCGCCCGGCGGCGTCGCCCTCATCTGCTCTCCACTGCCCTTCAAGCCCATCTACTACGCAGAGGTGAGGTGCGTCGTGTTGGGAGGGTTCCCTGGAGGCACCACAAAGGTCCATCCAAATTCCCATAGGGCTTCCGCTTCTTCTCGACGCCCGTCAAGCGGCCGCAGCACAACCTCATGGCCGAGTGCGGCGGCCGCGACTTCGTGACACAAGCGACTCACTTTGTGGACTCGGTCCTGCCGTCGCACGGCTTTGAACCCCTCGCCTTCACGCGCCTGCCCTATATCAGCGCCGGCGACGCCTTCTCGTCCTACCTCGCTCTCGAGAGCGTTGTTGTGCTAGTGCAGCGATCAAAACAGTTCAGCCCACCCGAGGTGTCGTCAAGCGGGAAGGAGGGTTGTGAAACGTGATGTGAGAGGCCGTTCGTTTGGTAAGGTAGTCCAGCTAGTTGGCCGCTGATCCTAGTAGTACGTTGCACGCCACCCTTTACGGCGCGGAGAGGTGTCCGTGTGTAGGCTACAACGCGCGCGGGCTCGTGGCCAGGGCGGGAGGGGGAGCTCGTATGGGCTTCTCAGGGAGAGGGCGCGAGAGGGTCCTCCCAGTCCGCGCGCCGTGGGGGCGGCGCGACCCGCTGCGCTGCAGAACATGTGCGGACAGGCGCCTATGACGCTCAAGGATTCAGGCGCGGAGCACGCCCGGAAGAAAATTTTGAGGGCTCTCTCTAGACACACACACAAAAAAAAGCGCTCGTTTTTTGGTGACCGCTCGACGCGTACACCTCCGTCTGCTGCTCGGCCGCAAGGCCATCGCTGAGATGATCGCCGCTGCGGCGATCGATCGGCGCAGGTCATGTCACACGCGCGCGTGTACCGTCCCTGCCCGCCGCATCCGAGCGCTGGTTCCGCAAAAACACCCACACCACCCCCACATGCACATTTCACCCCCACACACGACCCCCCCTGCACGGCGGTCGGCGGTCATGTGTGACCTCGCGCTCGTGTGACCGTCCCCCCTGGGGACTCGATCGAGCGCTTTTCCAACCAAACACACCCACACCAGATCACCACCCACACCATCCACATCCATGGCGGGCGGGCGGCGGCGCTCACACTCACATCCCCACCGCCAACACCCAACGTACCCGCGCGGGGACTGCGTTGGCCGTCGATCAGCCTCCATCTCGGAGCACTTGGAGCACTTGGAGTGCAGTCATTAACCTCACGGTCACGCCCAGGAAGGAGGGACCGGGGAGCTAACTAACTAAGTAAGAAGCGCACCCAGTTGGCCAGACGCTCGGCATCGGTTACGGGCTAGAGAGCCCTAGCCCTGGGGGGTGCGCGGTCGCAGGGCCATAATAACACGGGTCTCCGAGGGTTGGCTCTGTGCTCCGGGTTTCCCCTAGCAAGCAGCAGAACGCTTGGGAGCGTCCACTATTTCCATTACAAGGCGCGTGCCGGCGGGCGCTCCTCCCAGACCGATTCCAGGCCCCGCGCGACGGCCGACCTCGCGCCAACGGGGATCGCTGAACGTACACCAGAGAATCACGGTGGGCCCTGCCACGCGACGACCACGACGGCACGATGGCTTCGACGCCGACCGCAGCGTCGTCTCCCTGTCCCGGTTTCTCGCCGGCTCTCGCGCCAACTCTCGCGCGCGTGGCTGCCACGGATGACTTCAGTGCCGGCCGCTTCCGCAATCGTCTCAGCGCCCTGCCCGCTGCGGCGCTGCTCGACATTGCGGCGCTCGCTTGCGAAGGCTCGGCTGCAGCTCGCAAGAGGGCCGAGGAGCTGATCGCATTGCACAATCCAACGCCAGTGTGGGCCGTCTCCAACATTCTGCTGTCGCCGGACCTTCTCGGCAAGATGATGGCGACTCTCAACCTGTCGGACTATGCTGCAGCCGCCGTTTGCAAGACGTGGGCTTGCACCTGGAGAGAAATGGTCAGGGCCCGCGCGTGCTTCGTGCTGCGGATGCGCCCTCCGGAATATTGGGAGATGCGCACGCTCTCGACCTGCAAGCGGGTATCGAAGGTCTCGCAGCACTGCCTGATGGTGAGCGCTTCTGCATTGTCACTCCTCGTGGCGCGTGTCAGATGCGCATCGTCAGCAAGACGCTCAAGACGCTCCAGCAGCTGCCAGGCGAAGGCTTGGGCCTGCCCGCCGACCTAGACATGTGGGAGGCATGCATCGCTGCCGGCGACTGCGGCATTTACCTCCTTGGCCGTCGCGAAGGCCACGTAGTTGACATGACGCTCTATCGACTCGATCTGGAATCGTACGAGGTGGTGGCAACGACCAAGCTGGAGACTACTGCCTATGAACTCCCAAAGGGTGGCTGTGGCCAATTGTGCCTATCCGCGGATGGTGGTCGCCCGCGCCTCTTCATGTCGGGCGCGGCGCGGCGTGATGGCGACAAAGGGCTCCCAGACGAAGCGCTGCTCGTCCTGGACGCAACAACTTTGGAGATGCTGAGCGCGCACGACGGGCCACAGCTGGCCAGAGGGCCCTGCCCCGCACTCGAGCGCTACGGTTGTAAGCATACTCCCGACGGTCGCTTTGCCTTTTTTTTGGGCTGCCTCGCTGCCTCTGGCGATGAGCTTTTCGTAACGAGCGGCAATTTGGCAGCATCTTCATCTACAATTCCCACACGCTGGAGCCCCGTCGCGTGATTCTAGCCGACCTGAAAGCGCCCAGCGCAGCGGGCCTCCGCGATTATAACATGCCGGTCGCGATGACTGTGCACAGAGGCCGTCTCTACATTACAGAGAACGCCGACGAGGACAGTGGATACGACGACGACGACGAATGCTCCGAGGGAGTGGCGTACTATCGTTGGGTGAGTGGGAAGCGCGTCGTCGTTCTCACGCTCAGCGGCGAGGTTCTACGCGAGTACGTGTCGCCAAACGCCTGGCCGTGGTGCCCACGCATGCCTGGCGCGGAGTGTCAGACTCTCCGGCGATGGCGAGATGGCGATCTGCAGAAGCACATGTGCGATTGGAGGTCGATGTGCGTGCTCGGCGACCAGCTGATACTAGGCGATGCCCACGCGGACGGCCTTTCCGCTTTCCGCTCTGACGGCTCTCCAGGGAATTTGAGGATAGGCGGCGCAGAACCAGAAGCCAGAACGTGGGTCGTGGCGAACGCGGTGACCGGTGTCCTCTTAGTGTCCTATCTCGCTTGTACCGTCTGTCTTGTAAGGATGGTGGTATGTGTGTGTGCCGTGCCCCCCGGGCCCCCGGCTCGGGTTTCCCGGCAGCGTCGATCGATAATAATTTGGTGGGCACCGCCTCCCAGCTCACACCAAGATCGTGCAGGGCGGGGACACATGTCCCTAAATCCCATCTCGTCTCAGAGTTTGACCGTTTTATTCATTTATTATTTATTTAGCTCCCACCGCGCACCGGGACACCGGCCACCGCGCACCGGGCCGCCCACCGCCACTACTCGGTACCCGCCCTACCCTCGCCACCGCACTCTCACCAATCAAATTGCTGCTTCCTCTTCATTGCAGAGAGTCTTCAGACAGAGCAAAACTCAGATCTCAGTCACTCGACACTCGTCGTCACCTCCTCCTCCACTCGCATATAAATCCTATCCGCACGCGTGTTGAGTGTTGTGGCCCCGGGCGCGCGAGTGTCCACCATAATTAAAATCCGCACCGGATTGCACCGGAGATTTAGTGGCCGCCCTGCCGCATTCAGTTACAAACCCACACAAATGCCCTCATCGTTCTGCGCGCACACACATACACACACAACTCACTCAGACCCCCATCGGGTTTTGCAGAAGCTTGTGCAAACAAACGAGGTCCCGGTCAAGGATGAAAAATGTGCGCGCCTCTGCACCGCCCGCGTAGACTTTGATCTCGCTCGACTTGAGCTGCGTCCGAACCTTCTGCTGTCGGACGCGCGGCATGCAGCAGGTTTTGCTGTAGCAAGGGGTCCGCTTGAAGATGCAGCTGGCTAGGCTATTGAGCACGCGGTGGATCAGGGTTGCCTCAGACAATACGCTTAGCTTTAGGTCCTCAACCGTGTCCGTATCCTTGACTTCGATATGCGTGATGGCGCAGCGGGGAATCACGATGAGCGACTCCTTGTTGGCTGTGAAGAGTTGGAGCACAGAAGGCGTGCAGCAGAGCTGCCACGAAGCAGCGGAGTCATCGGGCTTGACCTTCAGCCCAGCAGGAGAGAGCTGTCCGTCCGAAATGCGCGGGGATGGACGCTTCCCAGATCGCTCCTCGGCGGCGTCAGCGTCTTTCCGCGCGAGCTGAACCATGTCTGCATGCTCCTGCCACTCCGCATGCCGAATGAGCTGATCCATTGTCGTAAAGATGGGCGTGCCATCGTCACCGTCCAGTAACTCGCACAAGTACGACCGGTCCTTCTCGAGCCTCGCCACGCCGCCGCTCCTCTTTGCGCCAGGCTGCTTGCGCGCCGGGTGTGGAGAGCCCTCGGTGGTCATTGTCAGGCGGTGGTGCAGCTTTCACCTCTCGGGCACGTCGACGAATTCCTTGCAACGTGCCCGCGACGTCGGTTACGCTTCCCGCTCTCGTGAGCTTGTTTGTGTCTGTGTCGCTCGTGCGTGTCGTCATCATCTGTCTTGCGTCCACCCATACCGCGTTGGTGTCCAGTCCGAGCCTGACTGTTCTTCACCTTCCTACATACATACATCCCGCTACGATCGTCTATTAGCTTGAGCACTTGAGCACTGGATAGGGTCCGATTCCGCATGGTACGGGACCCCTCGATCGTCTCACCCTCCCTCACTGGTGTGTTCATTGGGGGGGGGGTCATAACAAACACGGTACCAGGATCGAGGTGCACGCTGCTGAAGCAGTGTCGTCCCCCCTCTCCATCGTCTCCCTGGGAGCTGGGAGACGTCGGCGGTGATGGCGGCGTGACCGATCGAGCTCCGAGTAGAGCTAGAGGGGGCGTTCCGCCGCTAGGGGTCACCCAAAGCGCAGAACCAAAACCTGACCAAAACCCTCGGGGAGACCCGTGTTTACTTGTAACTCTTGACGGCCCATTCCCCTCGAACGCGCATCCCCTTAGGGCTAGGGCTTTTTTGCTCGTAGCCCGTCCCCGAGCATCCGGCCCGCTGGGTGCGCTTCGCTTAGCTCCAGGCCCTGGGTGTCAGGTTACCAACCTGCAGAGTGCAGTCTGCACTCCAAAAAAGTTAAAAGAGAGTGCTCTCTCCAAGATATCAACATCCTCATCAAGGCGGCGCGTGTCGCTGACGATATGGCGCCGCGGGCCGTGAAAAATCACACACGTGTGTGTTGAAAGTTCTGTGAATAATCAGAGGTACGACTGAACGCCGCTGTTCGTGCCACCACCCCCCTCAGCGGCATGCTCAGCGGGCGGCGCCCTCCTCAGCGACGCGAAGCTCAAAGTGGGGCGCGAGGAGAGCGCAGGCGGCGTCGAGGCGGTCGCCCGGCACGAGGACGAGGTTCGTATCGCCCGTGCTCACGTTCATCATTGGGAGGGCGGAGAGCGGCAGGCACACGCGGGAGAGCAGTCCCGGCTCGGCGGCGCCCGACGGGACGACGATGGAGAGTGCGCGCCAGCCTCGCTCGAGGGTCGGCCCTGCCGCATGGAGGAGCGCCGACGCTGACGCCGGGTGCGCCTGGGTGAGCGCGTGCAGCGCAGGCGATTCGAAGATGAGCGACACCTACTCGCGCAGGAGGCAGCCTCTCGCACACGGCAGCTAAGAGCACACCCTTTGTCGGAGGTGGACGGTGAGCCTCGCCGCCCATCTCGAAGACGTGCGTCAGCCCGGCGGCCGGCTGCAGCGCAAACAGCCACAGGAGGGCGTGCGCCGCAGCGGGGAGCTCGTCCCGAGAGAGGCTGCAGATGCAGACCGGTGCCGGCAGCACCGTCAGCACCATCCGGTCTGCGGGCGGCGGCGGCATCGCGGGAAGAGAGGACGGCTCGTCGAGCGTGCGCTGCAGAGTGACGAGTGCCCGCTCGGTGGCACCCTCGCGGACAAGGAGGAAGTTCCGACCCAGCGTCGTCATTGAGAGCACCGGGATCGCCTCGGCCGCGAGACGCGCCGAGAGCGCGGAGAGAGTGCCAGCTATCTGCGAGCCACGCCGCGTCTCGGACGACTCGTGCAGGTAGAGGCAGCGGAACGTGTCCTCGTCATCGCCGCTGCGCGGCAGCTCGCTAGCCAGGGCAGCGAGCCCGCTGTCTGCCAGCAAGAATGCGCCCGAAGCCGTCACAGTCAGCGAAAACATCGAGTCGGTGTGGTCGCCAAACAGTCCGCCGATTACGGCGTGTGCGATACGGTGCATGTGCTGCCGCGGAACGGCGCGGGCCAGAATCGCTGAGCGGTACGTAAAGACCGCGAGCGTGGAGTAGTCGGTGGGAGAGCTCATAGCACGCGCCAAGTCGAGCTCTCGCCGCGAGCTGTGGCCGCCCGCTTTCACCACACCTCCCAGCCCTCTAGGGTCACAGCCGGTAGCCGGTGAACCTGCCCTTGTCGTGCCAGTGTGCTGTGAGAGAGGCTTGCATTTTAAGAATTCTTTTGTAGACCGCTAGGATTGAGAGAAGCCCCGCTCTCAATCCTAGAAGTCGAAGGATTGTGAGCAGCACTCCTCGTAATCGTAGCATCTCTGTACGATTGCTAGCACCTACGCTCGCAATCCTACATCTTCTAGGACTAAGAGCAGCTCCGCTCCCAAGGTGACTGGTGACGCCTACGACTACTACCAGCGCGCTCGCAATCCGAGCAAAGTCTAGGTTGCGAGCAGCAATGCTCACAATCCGAGCAACATGCCTCCGATTGCGAGCAGTAGCGCTCGCAATCCTACATCTTGTAGGACTATGAGCGGCGGCGCTCACAATCGTACCCAAGATCCAAGGATTGCTAGCATGCGCACAGAGGGCACTCCCAATCGCTCCAGCCGCGAGCGCTTGTGAGTGAGCGCGCCGGGAGGGTCTCCTCACAATCCAAACAGTGATCCCACCGATTGCGAGGGGACCCCCGCTCGCAATCCTAGAAGTCGTAGGACTGTGGGCGTGTCGCTCGCAATCGGCGAAATCTCTAGGATTGCGAGCGCTGGTGCTCGACAACCGGAGGCACGTTGCTCGGGTGGAGAGCATAGCTGCTCGCAGCCGCGACCTTGCGCGTGATAGCGAGCGCGCTGGTCGTCGTCGTGGGCGTACCAGGTCACCTTGGGACCGGCGTTGGATTCGGTCGGCGAAGATGGTCTCGAGC